TATGTTGTCCAGAGTAACATTGCCTTAGGTTAGGTGGTCCTATAAATAAATACAAATTAAATATTAACAATTTCTGAGAAGATAGTTGGCCACTTATTGTGAACAGTAATATGTAAATCCCTGAAGATTAATCCAGTTGCCAGCTGCTGGCTTTTTCCCTTTTCACTTGAAGTTACAGAATTCAATATATTAAACTACTGTATAACTACTACTGCTGTTACTACTTCTACTTGTAGTATGAGAATGATGAGGATGCAGATTTTCTGTTAATGCTCAACCTTAGCTGTTCATCTATAGTTGCTATTAAGAGAGGATATTGTAATTTGGGGTTGAAATGAGGGGTCTTTGGCGCTTTCTGAGCTTGGTTGTTTTCTTAAAGACATATTGATGTTGTTACTTAGTATGAGTAATGAAATGTCTGCAAGAAAACAACCAAACTCAGAGAGCACCACAGACCCTTCAGTGTTACTATTTGATTCACCCTCAGGAGATTTGATCATGGAATGTTTCAGGATTAACTGTAATGACTGGAAGTAAAAGTGTTGTAGTAGCTCTCCTTTCTACTGTATGTATTAGAATTCAGTTGGTTTTGATGGGAAAGGTGAGATTAAATCCAAAGCTCCTGATTTTTTAAATAATCCAAATGGTTCCATGACATATAACATTTTTATTGCTATAGTAGTGTAGCAATAAAATGTACTATGTACTACCTATATAGACTTCCAGACAGATGCATTTCAGCCGGACTTTTAAGAATTAGTTAAAATAAAATAGCAACATACCTGGAAAAATTTAACAGAAACAGATTTCCTTTACCTTTATACATTTGCCCTGTGCATTTATGAGCCTAATTCTAAAATAGAACTATTTATTTGAAAAACCATTTCAAATTTTGAAATTGGACATCTGACTAATTCTCTTTTTCCTTATCTCCTGGGAAATTTTTTATGGAAAAACAATTTTGGGGTAAATTCCCTCTGCCTTTTGAAACAAGTAGTTACTATACTAGAGCTTCTCCTTGAACAAGTGAGTATACCAACTGAATACAGCTTGTAAAACAATTTTTTTTATCTATAATACGATAATACATTATTAGAAGCATGTACGAAAATACAAATAATATGATTTCTTTAAAAAAGTTGTAACCCAATAGATTCATTCATCCCTTATAGTAGACATCATGCATATAAATAGTAGATTGAAAAATGTACTTCCCCTGCATAGATTTTTTAAAGTTATTTTACCTTAAAGTAGTCTTTATTTTGGGTTGGTGGAAACTGAAATTATGGAAATTAGGCTTTGGTTTCTAATTCCTGGCATATGTAAACTCAAAATAGTAGCTGTTGCTAGCATGAATTACATTACAAGACTAAGGTTTTAGTTAAAGAGCTATGAACAAGAGAGGAAAGGTTTGTGAATGAAATATTGCAGGATGTGTCTGTTAGCACGATATTTGCTTTACTGTATTAATCAAGCACAAATTTAAAACTGGTTATTAGTTCATATTGAAATGGAGATGAGTGCTATCCCTTATAGTTGGCAATGCTAGCAGAGTAAAATCCTCAAGGATTTCCTTTCCTCCTTCCTTCATATTGCTTTTCTGATTAAATCTTAGGTTTGCTCTGTATTAATTCTGTAATTTTAATTATTTTTCTTATAAATCACTCTGGGATATATGATGGACGGGGTAAGTAAGTTCATGTTGTGTCTAGAAAATACTGTATATCTGGTCCATCAACATCTATTCAGCTCAGAACTTTGAACACAGATTCCCCCCAATCAAGCTGAACATTGCATTATTTAACTATTCTGGCTTCAAATTGGCTTACTGGCATGTCAGTCTTAGTGCTCTAACATTGCAAGGAATTCAGGATCTAAAGATAGTTCCTCTTGAACTACAATACAAGAAGATTTAATAATGCCTAACAGCTATGATAAAGAAGTGTATACAGAAAGAGAGAAACCAGAACTATTTTTAGATTTTTGACACTAAAATAGACAGCTCAATAATGCAGTTGTAGCGGGAACCATGAAAATAGTTGTTTCTTCAGTTTCTTTCATTTCACTCAGTTTGTTGAAGATTATGGTGTCAAAAGGTTAATATAAATAACTATTTAATGTCACATGAATATTTTGTTTAAACTTCAAAGCTTTTACACACAATAACCTTTATTCTAAACAGGACAGAATAAAATGTAGCTATTGATGAAGATAAATATAAAGAAGATTCTATTTTCAGGGTTAAGAGAGGAAAAAACCTTAGCAATAATATTTGTAATTTGACCATATAAACTGATAGGTCACCTTAGTTAACCTCAGGGTACCACATGAACATGACCACGTAGTTTTCTTCGTATCAAAGTAGAAGTAATCAGTCTGTTGGGATTTTATTTTATTTTATTTTTAAATTTTCCAGGCTTGTTTCCAGCCCTGGGCTTTTCTAATATTGTCTAATTCAAGAATGAACTGTAATTATCCCTGCTTAGCCTTTTTCTTAATCAGTGGAGATTTTGCCAACTGCTGTGAAGGCAACTGCTAACTACTTCCGTGTGGAAAGTTTGAAAATTCAAGGGAACCTTTAACACGTAGAGCAGCAGATAGCAGCAGATAGAAGATCCTAGCATTTGCTGTAGGTCTCCTAAAAGTGGACAATCTTTTCTATTGCTTTTGAAAATCAGAAACAAAGAACCAAAGTCCTAAATGCCTTCCTCTCTGTTTTCACAATGCTAAAAGCATCCGAGCAGTTCTTGCATCTTGATGAAATGAAAGAAGGTCTGTTTTATTATTAATAACCAAGGGACTGGACCAAATGTGCTTTTTCAAGAGGTAATTGGACTTTCTGATTTTTCTTGATATTTCACTTCTCATTCAAGAACCTGAAGAAGCTTCTTGAATGAGAAGCGAAACGTCTTCAAAGAAAAACCAGAAAGTCCAGTTACCTCTTGAAAAAGCACCTTTGGGACAACCATGACCTGGATGACTGAGAATCTCCATAGATAAGAGACTGGACTTTTCCTAACAATGTATGTTCAAATTCCAAGATTGCCAAAGAAATCAAGTGTTTCAGTTTTGCCTCGACAAAAGGGGTGAAACTGATTCTTCATGTATGAAGATTCTTGTGATGCAGATGCTTTTGGTTTTCAAGTTAAACTCTGATATGATGCTCTCTGAAGGTCATAATTATACAAATATTGAAGGAATTGAATTTAAGGTGGTTTAAGGTGGTCATTTCACCAGTGCAACATTCTATATGATTAGGTACTGTATACTTATTAATTACTATTCTGATGAGTCAGTTGCCCTTCAGATAGATCACTTAAATTTCTTTGATGTAAATGAAATGGTATGCAGAGATAAAAATGAATTTAGGAAGGCTGACTAGAATGATGTCAAACTCAATTTCATTGAGGACCGTTTCAGGGTTGTGTTTGACCTAGGGGGGCCAGGGACATGACCAGAATGGGTGTGGCCAGCTCAACATCACTCATCAAGGCTCTTTGGCTGTGATGGCCTCCTGCAGTGCTCTGCCAGCGAAAACAGAGCTCAGGAGGCTGTGTGCAGCTGCCTGGATTCCATTTTTGCTGGCAGAGTGCTGTAGGAGGCCATCGTGGCCAAAAACGGAGCCCCAGGGCCGCATGTGGCCCTCCTGAGCTCCATTTTTGCTGGCAGAGGCACAGCGAACTTCTTTGCTGTTCCCAGGGTGGGCTTGCAGGCCAGATCTAAATACCCTGCAGGCCAGCTCCAGCTCCTAGGCCTTGAGTTTGACACCCCTGATATAGTAGGATACTCTTAAAATAGAATGGCGAGCAAATGTTAAATTGAAAATAAAGGATGTTACAAACATCCTTTTTAATATTTAGTCATGATTGTATTTCACAGCTATATTAATGAATAATAATCTATACAGATGCATAGATCTATTTCCAAGTAAACATACATATAATTTCTAATATCTAGATATAATCCAGAAGATTATTTCAGACCAGATTGAATAATAAGCATTGAAAAATAATTGTCTGATTTCAGATGCTGAATATTACATGTTTTCTCATGGAAAATATTTTTAACTCAAAGATTGAATGCACATATAAAACTTAGTAGAAAAACAGTCATGATTTGTTTATGTGGCTACATAGACTATACAATGAACATTCCAATTGTAATTGTGAGTCAGTTACAGCTTCACTGGCTGCATGATCCAGTCAAATTGAAGTGCTGAAGCACCACTAAAATAAAGTTGATATATTTTTGGCTGAATTTTTGATTTATGCATAGTTATGTTCTATTCTGTAAATACATTTTTTTTGCAGATGTTTGAGAACTGAGATGGCTAGTTGTAAACTCCACTTTAATGCTTCTCAGTTAATTTTTTTGCAATTTTATTCATTTAAATAAATACATAAATACCTATAATGGAATAGAACTTGAAAAAAAGTAAAAGCAAGATGAAATAACATAGAATAGCTGGGGAAGCAATGGGTATCTAAAGGATTAGTATAAGAATGTGAGTTTGTGATCCTCTTAAATATGCTTGAAAAATAATTACATTAACTAAAACTAGGATTAGAATTGCATACTGCATTTAATGTTACAAGTAAATTAAATATAATACACAAAAGCTTCAGTTTTTTTTTAAATCTTAAGAAACATTGGAAGAAAATTAGAAGAAAATTCTCATTAGTCATACTAGAGTATTTCAAGAAAGCCAGAGGCTGAATGTAACAGTACATATTTGTATAGCCTCTATCCTTGAAGTAGATAAATAGTAGGAATGTGGAGAGGCTCTAAAATGGGTGTTATTTGAAGTTGTGGCTATCAATCTGCACAAAGGATGGACTGTACAATTAGCCATTTAGGACATGACCACTAACTTTATTATGCCTCATTGGTTGCACAAAATTTTGTCAGTCCCAAAGCAAAGCACTGAGAATACTATATTTGTCCTGTCAGACTTCCATCATCTTATATACTTTCCTGGATAATCTGTGGTAAACCTGAAAATGCCTCATTTGACAGATTGCTCTTGCTATCAGGTGAGCTAATTTTCAAAAAGATGCCTAATGGTTAATTACTTTGTTAATGCAATGCCCATTTTTTAGAATGTTTGCTATTGGGATATAACTGTATAGATAAATTTCATTTCAGACAAGGTTTTAAAACAGGGTTGCATGGTAATTATATATTAAATAATGCCTAGATATCTTTTGTAAATGTTTATTCCCACCAATAGTGGGATGAACAGTGAGTGAGAATTGGAAAATTTAGAGAGTAAAGAAAAATGGTTTGAAAAAAGCATCATTTTTATTAGTTTGTGAATGTAGCATAGATAATTCTGATGCAAGCAATAGCAATTACAATCTACTTGTATTAGCAGTCAAAGGATATAACAGTCAAAGATTTCAAGTGGAAATATAACTTATCTCACTGCTATCAAATTTCTGTATCAAAAATGTGCATATCAGGCTTACAAAGGAAAAGTAACATTTCAGTATCTTTTTCTGTTATTTTCAGGTTCAAGCCCACCTGGAAAATCCAATGAGGTATCACATTCAGCAAATTCCACAGCATCAAGTGAAACCATTCCTGACACTGGATACCAAGTTATCTAACCAACCTCTATCACTGCCTAATTCCCAATCTGTATCTTCTTCAGGATCTACACCTATAATAAAGAGTGGTCATGTGCCACCTACTAGTAATATCAGCATTCCTGAAAGTCCAGTAACCAAGATACTAACTCTTGGAGGAGAAAATGGGGTATGATTTATAGTGAGATTAGTTCAGAGCAGGCTATTATACTAAACAGAATTGACAAGAAAACAATTCTCCAATTTGTTCAGCTCTTACTGTTTAAATAAGATAGGGTTAAGGAAGGATGACTTCAGACATTAGTTTTATTGATTGCACCATAAAGCTTGCATATTAAAAAATCATAACTTCATTGTGTATCCAACTTCCTTTGGACATCAACAAGCAATGCATCATCATTAACAAGTCTTTGATTATCATATCATCACTGCTTAATGATGTGTTTTGTATATGATGTGCTAAAAATCATTTTCATTTTTTCAAGGAATCTAATCATAACTGAACAAACTATGCAAAAGCGAAAAAAATGTTAGGGTTGATGTTTGTTATTGGAGGTTGAAAAGTAAAGTAGGGGAGAAAAAACCAACTTCCCTTATTTGATTTGTTTTCCTATATTTTTATTTGAGCCTTCCTTTCCATTTAAGAGAAAAAGTAGTCTTTCTTTCATGTTACTTATACTACAAGTATTCTTGTTTCAGCAAATCAGGATTGCAGAACTATTGCATTCTATACTTTATAACTATATTATTTAGTAATATAACAGCTCCTATTCTGCAAATGTAGACCATAGGGCTGTCCATATTTTTGAAGAGGTAGGTTGGTTTGGACAGAGATTGAAATGAATCACTTCTTGGAAATGGTTGTATAAGGCAGTAGCTTCCTTCACTTCTAGCAGTAAAGCAATAATATCTATTCTTCCTCATTTTCAAGCTCCATGCCTTTTACCATGGAACATTTTTGACCAATTTAAAGCTATTTCAATTGTTGGGATTCTCGTGTCTTAGCTTTATGGCCAAAATACTGATATTCCAGGGATAGAAAGTTGTTCCCAAATGCTTTAAGTTCATTCAGTTATTTTTAAAATGTTCAGAACCATTATTTCTCCCATCTAATCTACCTACTCTTATTTACTATTTCTCTTATCACTGTAAATTAGTCACATAAATGATTCTAGCTAACAAGAGGTCAATAAATAGTTAATAAGATGTTATTATCATAAGTAGTGGTATAGTTTTGGCTATGTGATGTGTATCCCACTGAGAGAGAAAGAAGTACATTTTAGATTAGTCATGTGGATGATTTTAGTGGATTAGAGATAATAAGGAAATAGGATAAAATCAGTAAATAACTGAAATCAATTTGATATGGCTGAAGACAAATAATATTTCAGAGAGAAAACAGTCTTGGACTTCATTGTCTATTTCCTCAAATGGGTATTCTGATCCCCCGCCCCCTCAAAAATCATCAAGTAACCATTTGGTTAAGTGGTAGGTTTTTCTTTTTCTCTGTTCTTTCTTCAAAGAACTCAGAAAATCTTACATATTGTTTCCAGGTGATCTTTAACTCACATAGTATATAGGAACCATTCCATTTAATTATAGCAGGATCATGACATTGTGATCTTTCAGAGATAGGTTTCTGAGGTAGGTTTACCAAATATTTAATTTGGTTTTTCTCTTAAGTGTTTTTTTTTAGATTGCAGTCCTCTACTTCATTCAGCGTATGTATTATTGATCTCCCTTTAGCATGAACTTATATAGAATTGTAACTGTAAGTTTCTCTATTAACTATTCATTTTCACTCATTAGCAATTTTTGTTCTATTAGATGGAAGAAGTTATTGATGATATAATCAACATGGAATCAAATTTTAATGATGAAGGGATATGTCGTATTGAAACACCACTGCCGATACCAAGAGTGGTAAGTAATTGGCAGACTTTGCCATGAGAACAATTGAGAATATGGGTCAGAAAATTGTAGTTTGGAACTGTAATCAGGTAAAATTCTTGCACTCTTTTGTCAAACTTTCCTTTGCAATTACAAATTCTAAATGTGTACCATAGAAACTGTACTGTTCAAAGTTGTAATCCTATATTATAATTGGTGAGGTTATGGATTCATTGATTTGCTAGAATGGCTTTAATATTTTTATTTTCTTCACCAGTTGGTAGTCACTTTTTTCAGAAAAAGTTCATGCAGAATAACAACATAATTCAAATTCCTTAGCATTTATTTTATTTTTATTTTCAAAGATAGCATTTATTAAGAAAATTTCTATCAAAATAGAAATTATTGCCAAGAGAATATATGCCCTACTATTTTAGTATTGATTGATTTAAATTATTTAAGTATTCTGTAGGAATGAAAAAATAGGAACAAGAATTGTATATATTTACATACTTTTTGTACATACAATTGTTGGTGAAACTTACAGTTGTCAAATACAACAATATTGAGGTACAGTTTCATATATACAAATTGCAATTAAGTATAACACTTTATTAAAAATTCCAATTCTCTCTATCTAACTTTTCAACATTTTTGAACAATTAATAAAAATCAAAATGGTCTCTTCTCGTTTCACCAGAAATTGAAGTCTAGCTGTTTTAAACTTTTACTCTCAAATATTCATTTAGAATACCTGAAGTATTGTTGTTGATATGAACAATTTCTAGCCTGCAATTATCATTAGTATTAAAGTTTAGTACATATTTGAAGGGAAGGGAGCTGACTAAATAGTAACACCTCTATCACTAATCTTAGCTGACTGGAAAAGGCTGCACGAGACATCAAGGCAAATGACATTGTCAAGCACATTTTACATTAGGTCAGGCATAAATTCCAAGGAGGAATCAAAGGTCATTTGATATATCAGCTTCAGCAACTGTCAGTATGTCATGAGTACAAGCTTGACAAAAAACAAAAATTAACAAGAAAAACAAGCATCAAATTATGCAGAGTGTCCATATTGAGTTTTTAAAATAACCATTTATTTAGTTAAGTATAATGAATGCTATAATGAGAATTGAAGAGTTGGCTTTGGTATACCATTAAGTGTATCCCTTTGATGAAAAGGTTTAAGGTAAATTTCCCCTCTTGGGGAAATTGGATATTAGATGGGTGGCAAATAAATTTCTTAAATAAATAAATGTGAAAAAAATCTAAATTTATTTATATAAGCTGTGTTCCCCAAGCATGCTGCAATTAACTATTTCTAGCAAATAACAGGAAAAGTTATATGGACCTTTTTAGTATTGTTGGTGGCAAATGTTCTGAACTTTCAAGTTGATCTGATAATTGCTAAATGCACTGAGAAAGAAACACTGAATCCATATGCTGTGCATAGATGATCATTATCAGGAATGCAAAGCAAAACTTTCCCTTCCGTTCAGATTCTGCTGAAATATAGCTGGATAGAATGTGGAAAAACATTGTATATTGAGTGTGTGCCATCTACAGCACACATTGAATCCATTTTGACAAGAATATTGTGCATTATTTCCTTCTCTCTTACCAAAGCTTGCTGTCTTGTTTGGTATAGCATTCATGTGCATGGCGAGATATTTCAAGAAATTTTCAAGAAATGCCCCCTAATCTGTAACATGCAAAATCACTTCATTTTTCTTTTATTTCAATAGGAAGTTTGGTTTCAAGTAGAACTATCTTTTGATACCATCTTTCCGGTTAAGTAAGATATAATTGTGTAATTTTATGGTGAGGATGTGATTTCATAATATATCAATGTGGTCTGTTTCCTCTTGCTGACATCTAGTGTATTCCTAGATCTGTCTGTATAATAATATTTGTTCAGAAGTAACGAGGCTTTTGAAACAATTCAGCTGCCATGGTGTTTTGTTCTACCTAATTTGTACGTAAAATATTTATACAACATTTTTGTTTGAGATAAAACTTGTCATAAATTGGAATTTAGTTCATAAATGCTTGCTTGCTATGTAAAGAATGAACTACTAGGTCACCTCATTTCTTTTAAATCAATATAATTTATTTCAGCATAAAATGCCCAACCTGACATTCACTGTGCCCCCATGCAAACCCTTTTGGAGTGATCTCTGGCGATGTTTCTTTGTCAAGGCAGCTTAGCATCTTATAGACATTCAACTTTTTACTTTGCATTTATTGCTGATAAAAACTCTTATTGCTTATTTCTTCACACATTATTAAAATGTGTACCTCGGTATCATAGGAGTTGGCATGACATTCTTAGCAAACTTGGTAGTTGTTGGCAGTATCCATTTTTCCTTATTAACATTTAATCCATTTAATTTAGTATTGTACCCAAATATACTTACGTATTTTTACAAATTAGGTAAGTTATAAAAGTTTCTAACTTGAAGGCTGGGTACAATAAAACAGAGTAAGCTTCAATTAATACATATGATATTTTGCAGGTAGAATATGTCTGGGAGATGCATTTTATGGCCCCATTTTAGTATAATGTGAAAGTGGGGTCTGCAAATCACATGAACAAATGTGTATCTGGCATCCAAATGATCATTATACAAATTGTATAGCAATCACAATCACATAGATCACTTACAGAAAAAGCCACTGTTAATGTGTAGATTTTTTGTGTGAAAAGGATTAATATCAGTCCAATTATGTAGATTAAGCTAGGAAATCAACTCTAAAGAAAGACTAAAACTATATTGGGATTGGCTATAACAACAGATTGTTGCAAGCCTGATTTTGCTTTACCTCTTTTTATTTTTATTATTTTTATTTTATTTTGTGGAAGCATTAAAACCTTAATATATATATATATTTAAAAATGGACAGAGAAAATGAAACATTTGAACACTAAATCTTTTGGGGATTAATGACACACTGCTAATTTATTATCATACCATTTTATAAGTGTTTTGCTTTGCTTTGTTTTGCTACTCTGAAATTATCTAATTGAGATTGTAGACTACATCCTTTAAAAGATTAATTCCATGAACAATTATCTGAAATGTGAGTTTTAATGTGGATTGAATATTTTTTTTAGAATGAGAGAAGTTCCATATTGGCAAGAGGCGGTCTTCTCATATTCATTGCAGTAAATATTTAGATCTTTGTAGTATAGTGGTTGTTAGTGGGAACGCCTGTGAGGTGAAGTCAAAAAAGTCAAGATGACAGTCACAACAGTTTTTGGGTTAATCACTCTCAAGTTTCTTTATATTCTGCTATAGAATTGTTCTCAATAAATAACCACAAGCTGCTAGTTGAGAAGATACCTTAAAGCCTGACTTAACAAAAGATCTTGTTTTACACAATGAAAAAGTCAGTCCTGTCCCGAGATGGATATATTCTACTGAAAATGAGCTAAAAACTCATGTAATCAGAAATCTAGCACTGAAATGAATGTTGTGGCATTGTATGTTCTAATCTGAGGCCCATTCGAAGAAAAGGACCACAGTATAATTACATATCCATTGTTGACCTATTCCTTGAAAGGTTTTCTAGTTAATACCACTGCTATGTTTCCATTATCTAGCTTGAACACTATTCTCCTTGGATGTTCTGCTTTTCCAATATTGTCTGCCTCATCCATCTGTTTACTATATAATCAAACTCAGCATTTTTGCTTGCCTGGTACAAAGACAAGTGTTACCTTGAAGATAAAAGGTCTTGTAGATGGGCAGTTAAATCACAGACAATTGAAAATAAACAATTAAAGTTACTTCAAGGTCATTTCTCTAGTTTGCAGCTAATAAGACAGTCTCTCTGCCTATTTGTGAACAGGCTTAATATAGGCTAGACCAAGTAGAATACACAAAGCCATACTGTTTCCTCTCCAGTTTAGAAGGAGAAATATATTTTGATAGTTTTGTTTCATTGTGTAGGAAGTTGCATTAGAAGCAGAGGATCGGTTTGCATTAAAAGGTGCAAAGTCAATGCATATTTGGTCGTTCATCTGCAAAGACATGAACATGTTGGTTAGTTAAATTGAATAAACCTAAAGATAAAATGATAAAAAAGTGAAACAAACATTGAACAAATTCTATGTTAGTTACCATATTTTTCGGATTAAGATGCTCTAGCTTTTGGGGAAGAAAACAAGAAAAAAAAATCTACCTCTGCCTCTGCCTCCCTTGCAGTAAACAACAAATAGCCTGGTCAGATTCAGCACAGCCCGATTTAGCACGAGCAGATGATTGTCAGTTGGATCTGCCTCCTGATGATCAACTGTTTCAGGCTTCAGGGATCACCATCGCCTATTGCTGCCTCTGCATGCCTCATTTTTGGCCTCCGTATCCCATTTTCGGCCTCCACGCACCCCATTTTTGGCCTCCATGTGCCCCATTTTTGGTCTGTTCTGGGCAGCGGGGTTTGGAACAGGCTAAAAATGGGGCATGCAGAGGCCAAAAATGGGGCGTGCAGAGGCAGGAAACAGGATGTGGAGGCTGAAAACACACAGAGGCAGCAATAGGCGATGGCGATCCCTGCAGCCTGAAACAGCTGATTGTTGGGAGGCAGATCCATCAGACAATCAGCTGCTTGTTTAAATCAGGCTGTGATGAACCTGACCAGGCGGTTTGCTGTTTGTTGCAAGGAGGCAAACTGCTGGGAGGCAGGAGCTGAAGGGTGGGGGCCAGTGAGTGGGTGGAGCTTTGGCAACATTCACTGTATAAGGCACACAGATATTTCCACCCACTTTTTTGGGGGGGGGGGGGAAGTATGTCTTATACACTGAAAAATACGGTAATTAAAATGAACCACAAAATGCATTTTTCTATCATATGAATTGTTAATGGAAACACCACTACATTCTTAAACTTTTGAAGCACTGTCATTGATGGCTGCATTTTAAATCCGTGGGTCTGAGGTTTAAACTTAAGACCTATTTTTAAATTTTCTCCTTGAAAGTTAGCAGCAAATCAAGTACCCTGTTTCTCCAAAAATACGGCCTCCCCCAA